GCGCTCACTATCGCAGGCTAGGCCTACACCGTGAGGCTACAGTTCATATTTTTCTTTGTTAATAATAATACTAATAATAATAATAATATACAGTAAACAAACATATAAAAATGGGCATAGCCTTTATTATGGATCGTTAATAACCAAAATAGCCTGTGAGATGGGGAAATCCCTTTTTTATTTTTACGTTGCGGGTGTTTTTTTTTTTGTTTTGTTTTTTTTTTAAATCTACCCGGGCGATCGACACCTTTTTTTATTTTGGCCTGGTTAAAATTTAATACATACAAATTTTAAATACACAGCAAATATTTGAAAATCTTGTTAATTGTAATGGCTACTGTAAAGACATCTTTTTCCAGATTTTCTACAGTATGTTTACTGAAGTACTAGGATGTTTACTGTAATTGTTTTTCAAACTTACTGTAGATCTACGTTGATTGATACATGATAATTCATCATTATCTCATAGGTCTATCGATCATGTTCAAACATCTCTAAATTTCTTGCCGTTCAACGATGGTCACTGAACTTTATAATAACGGATATTCATAGGTGATAATTGTAAATCACTAGAATTTAATATTTCCTGTTTGAGTACTTCCTATTGCAGTCTTCTAACGGTCTCAAAGATACGAAAATCAAAAGGACCCGCCAGTTCTACTGTCTAATGCCCTGTCCAGACTAAAAACATATGACATGACTATTATGGTCATGATGACATCACATCAGTTTTTTGTTATAAAGAAAATTTGATAGTGTGGCCAGAGCAGTAGCACCACATCTTTTGTGTATGTGTGTTTACATTGTAATAGCATGTTAACATTTGAATGAAGCTGAAAGCGAGTACAATGAACAAATTGTCGTAAATTATTCGAAGTACATTATTAATTCTTAAAATGGTGTTACTCTCCACTTGAACAAAGGGAACATGCACACAAACAGGTATTTCAGCAGAAAGGTGCAAGGCATTCTAAATTCCAAATTCCAACCATAGCAACCATATTTCAAATTGCCTTAACCTTTAAATTTCACTTTCATTATATAGTGGGTAAACCCAATGCATTATTAGCATTAATATTTGATAACTTTACAGTATTACGACATTACTATTTTTACTATGTTTGTACAGTATACTACTGTACTGTATTAATAATACATTTAGAGTAATAGTATAGCTTAAGTTCATAATATCCCCATTTAAAATCAATATCTATAAAAATTATCAAAATTTAGCTATTTTAAAATATTGTTAAGCCTTCAAGATGAGCACAAGTGAATTAATATTAATAATCTTGAAAAAAACAGTGTTATACTGTTGGCAGCAAACTGAAGCATAAGGCCAAGGGTTGTTTACCAACCTCACTACTCACAATCACTCTAGGCCTTGTTTACAATTTTAAATCTGCTCATATATCCAAACAACGTACTTCAGGGAACTGAACTCAATACCTTCAGTCCTGATATATCCCCACTAGGCACAAAGGTCAACTATTTTAATATAACATTTCTGCTATTATTACTGCATAGAATGTATATTTATGAAAAAACAAGACAGGAAAGGTCATTTATCTATCATTATTACATTATACTGTCCCTGACCTCTGTTCGTTGGATCTCATTTCTAAATTCCAGGTATATATATATATATTACAATTCATCATTTATTTTTTTTCTAATGTAGACAAGTTAAATTAGATTTTTAAATAAAATACTGTCAAATCAGAAAGGGAGAAAAATCATTAACACAGTCAATATAAAAACACTGTACGATTGTCTTTAATTTTCTGGGCATACTGGTTGTTTTTGCTGAAAATTACCATCCCTAAAAATACATATAGGACACTGTAATCTGTACCATAGTACAGTAGATCTTAGAAGTAGATGCTAACTATTAGGCAATCTGTTATCTCCAAACAAATGTGCGATAGAATTGAATGAAATCTACTTAGGTTAAGATTTATTATGTAATTATCCAGCAGGAATATGTGGGAGGATTATTTGTTTTGCAAGAAAGTTGCAGTGAGGATAATCAATACTAAATTTAACTTGTTTAAAATAATAATTTAGTAGACATTTCGTAAAACCTTGAATTGAAGCCCAGTGGGCTTAATCTGGAGATAAAGCCCATCTCGAATTGAAGTCCCCTCTTTAGTTTGCAAAATTAGTGTCGAAAAGAAGTCATCTCAAAAAGAGGCCCATAGGCTTCTTTTCAAGATAGATAGGCTATTTATCGAGATAATACAGTACTGTACACCGTACATGAATTTCAGAAAACAAAATAAATTAAATACAAGCTTGGTTTATAAAGTAGTTTAGGTGATTTAATGCCAGATAAATACACTCCATGATATAGATTTTTGTTACAGTGGGTTTATTTATTGTTTTATAAGGCCAAAAAAAAAAATATACTTGTTTAGCGTCACCGCCCGAGCCTGATTTTCTAGCCGCCTATTTTTTTTTTTTTTTTTGGTAAAAAAGTGCTGAAATTCGACTAAAAAATGCCGATAATAGAGGAAAAACGATTGTTTTTTTCATCTTCAGCACAGGGAACCAGATGTGAAGTGCGCCACCAAGTGTGTTTTCTTTTTCTGCAGAAAAAAAATAGATTCCTCACACATGTGTGCCTTTTGACAGAAATCGCAGACAATTTGATCGTAGGCGTACATGTTTTTATTTGGTTCTTTTTAGATAATAAACAATGTTTTAAATATGATAATAATAAAGTACTATGAAGAAAAATAATATGTATATATATATATTATAAAATATATATACTTTACAGTAGTTTGGAACGATATCAGGAGTGGGGGTATCAGGAGTGGGGGTGGTGGCAGTGGCCTACTAGGACTACAATTTATTTGAAGCTATCTTGGGTCCAATCGTCCACACCAGTTGGGCCCAATCGTCTGTCGCCCAAAGTTTTCATTACGATGATCAAGAACGTATACTATCTAGGCCCTAGGCTAGGCTTAGATTGCTCACTCTGCTACGTATACTACTACTGCATAACAAAGAGAAAGCGACCCACGCGGTGCATTCTTAAATTTTACACACATTAGTAAAATGTATTAGACGATAACACGATATCACTGACTGAACGATCTACCACCCTCATATCGCAGTAACTACTGTACTGAACTAGGCCTAATGTTTTTGTGAACTAGAGTGCTGACAAGATGGCGGAGCAATGCAGAGTTATGTACCCGACAGTCGGCTGCCTTTGTATCTTCACTTGTCTTCAATTTGCATTCAAAGGGTACATTGCTGCATAGCCAACTGTTGGGGATATAGTACCTTCATATGACTACTCATACAACAGAAAAAAACGTCGCAACAGAATAAATGTCTACACACATACGCACACACATACATACTACACACAATAAAAAACAAAGGAAAAACAGTGAGAGTGATTACAATAGTTCCTATTGCATTACATGCATAGGAACTAAAAAGTCCATTTCAAAAAAGCCCATCAAAAAAAAAAAAAGCCCAGGGCTTTAATTCGAGGTTTTACGGTATAGTACTTGTAAGCATCTTTTGCTAAAAAAAGAAGATAAAAATGAAACAAATGAAAAAAATGATAACAATACTATGACCTACATTGTGTTTATAAGTTAACACAGAATGAATAATACTGCATTTTGTGACATGCATTGTTGTAGACTGCTCCTAGAATGATCATAACACACTTTGATCGAAATTGTGAGATTTTAAGATAGGACTAACAGACAATGCTTTGCTTGTCTGATGGATTGCAATTAAATAATAGATTGTATTGAAACTGACAGTATGATGCTAGCTTGTCTAATTCAATCAGTATTGGGCTGTTTTACTGACTGACAAAAGGTTTCTAGCAAATATATTTGCACATGTACATTCCCACCATCACCTGATCAGTTCCTTTTCAATAATATTAGAACTTTCTTAGTTACAGTATATCATTCTTATATTTATTTTAATTTATTTATACACTTATTTGTGAACACTATACTGTGAAAGTAATTTTAAGTGAACCTTGGTCCTTATTGCATTCAAAGTATTAAAAATGAATTTAATTTAAAACCAATTCTAAGACCACTGTAACATTAAATTGTATGCAATCAAAATGGGATATTAAATCGCACCAATTTATATGTTAGACTACTTAAGGCCTACAAATTTTACAATCATCATTTTAATCTCAAATTGAATGATACAGTAGCATACGTTTCAACCCTCCTGATTTGACTGGGAGTCTCCTGAACTTCCATGCAATCTCCTGGTCTCCCGACTTTTGTCAAATTCTTCCGAATTTCTAGAAAAGAAGCCCAAAATACCAAACCAAACTAATTAGTGGCTTTTGGGTACTAATAATTAAGCATTTAGAATGTGTCTATTTTGCCTAACCAGGGGTTGTGCACTGACCTTATTAACGACTTCGATGTACAAAGGCTTCCCTAGTATTACTGAGACTTCTAAAGAATGCATCCATGAAAAAATCTTAGATTTTTAACATTTTGGGGGTTGGGCGCACTCCAACAGCACCCATCCTGTCACCAGAATTTAGTATGTATGAACAGTACATATTTATTTATTTCTTCTTTCATCTCCACCAATCACAACACGATACTGTACATTCTATTATTGTACATCTTTTTTTTCTAACCACAGTGTTTTTATTCTGTATATAGGAATGTGTATTCAATAATAATAACACTCCACTACTCTCCTATCCCAGGTTTTCTCACTCTTGCTTCCATAGTGTGAAAGAAAAAAAGGGACATATTAATATTTATGACCAGTTCTAATTTAACATGCTCATTAATTATATATTTCATTTCATTTAGGCCTGGGACCGTTGGGTGTTAATAAATAAGTTAGAATTGTTTAGCAAAAGAAATTTAAAAAAAACTATAAAAACATTTAAAAAATACTCCAAACAAAGGTGAAAAAGATTTAATGCACCAACATAGGCCTAGCAATATACAAACATTTTGCAGTTGGAGGAGAGTACTTACCAACTTCCCTTCGCGTAACATTAACATCCCTTTTTTGAGCATGGCAATATTCCGAGCATCCTACAACCATCACAATGAACAGCATTAACCACGACGGGCTGGTTTTCGTGATAATTACAATCATGATGATTAGACATCAATATCCGAAAAAGTATCAGATATACAGGTAAATCTGAGTCGGAAGCTTAAAAGTTAGGCTTGACATTGACGAAACTCTATTGTTGTCAACATGCTGGCTCACGGGAGATCAGGCCGTGTTTCCCCTGTCTGTGTACCTCACTCGACGACGCTATCAAGATTTTCGTGATGATGTAGACGCTGCTGTAACGCAGAAGTACAATATTTTCCAAACATGAAACTTGATATAAATAATCGAAGATTACATATCAGTACACAATCCCGTATTTTTGTTATATCAATTATAAAACTGCAATACAATATCGAGTAGCCTCGGTGCACTGTGCAGCCACAGAACAATACTACTATTCTAGCGTCTCAATTCATCAATTCCCATCCATGACCATCATAGAAAAGCACGTCACAGACAGGCATACAAGGAACTCGGTTTTGCGACAGCGCGCATAAAAGAGCACTTTGACACAATGTGACAGATGGTCTATTAAAGCTAGCTGGCAATCTGTTGGAAACCTCAAAACTAATCACGTTGTACTTGGGAAAAAATATTATTTCAGCAAAAAACATTAAACGATATTCTCGCTTCCACTTATTGATATCGCTTTACTTGACTACAGGAATTTTCGACAGTATGACAGATTTCTGTGTTGCAGACGATCAAAACAACCTGATCGATAATACCGGTCTCTTCCAATATAAGAATAGGGATGGTCAATGATATTATTTTCGATCTTTATTCCCATAAATAAAAAGAGACTCGGGTTATTATACTCAAATGATGGAAGGATATTATTTTTTCTTTGAACTTGCAACTTCGATACATAAATCATATTATGATCAGTGATTTTTGAAATGTTATTTATAAATGGATTGCTCCATAGCTCAGATATCGTCAACAACTTAATTCTGCAGAATAGTAACCGTGGACGTTATTATACGGGATAGGTTTTATACATTTTTCCGTCTTGGTTTGTCGCATCAATTAAATGAGGAGATGTTTTCGCTCTCGGTGATACTGAATGGTTTGACTATATATCTTTTAATTCTTTACACATTATCATGCAAAAATTGCACCATTTTGCACATAGGCCTACTATTGATAAAGCAATGGTTCTTTAAATATAATACATTCATCATATTCATGTTTGCATTTTGACTTAAATACAAAAATCGCTATCTAATCATATGCCGGTTGAGGACGATTATTTATGCTATTGGTAATATTATTGTCGTAGGCCTGAGTCCTATGATAAACAGTTTAATCTGGTTTAACTTTTTCACACAGAAAAGTCTAACTTTTTCACACAGAAAAGTCTAACTTTTAAATTAATTATCTATTATTATTTTTTTTACTCTTAGATAGAGATGGCAGGCTGAAGGAAAATTAACTCCTATTCCCAATGGGATTATTATAATTCAGTATTATCTCGATCGATCCCCACGTTTGCCCCCCCTTTTTTTGGCCCCTCCCCCCTCCTTTTGGACATTTCTGGAACTGCCCCTGATACACAGGCAGTCGGTCATTATTATGGATCATGAGGTAACGATGGAATTATCTTTGTGCGTGAGGCCTATGTCCTCATAGGGATAGGCCTACCTTTTTTATTTTAATTTTTATGAAAGTTTAAGCAACAACAATAATTTCTACATACTGTAATGCCTACTTCTCCTTAGAGGAATCGTATCGATGCTATTTACTTCAAATAAATTGAGACTAGGGCCAGATAAAAAAACAAGGTTGACACCAGAGATAAGACCAATACAATGATTGTCGTAGCATAAAATTGTAATTTAAATTGCGAACGATCATGGGTTTATCGAGACCTATTCCATCATCATTAAAGATATAGGATATTGCTACCTTATCTAATACTGTAATACCATTTGAAAATTTTTAATGCTTAATTATCTCAAAAAATGAGAACAAGAACCAAATTTCCTCACTTGTTAGCGAATTTTTATAGGCCTATAGTGTATACTATTCCTACTACACTAGCGCACACTTAAAACTGGTAGGATTTTTCGATTTTCGTATGTAGTAAAACGACTTTACATAATTGAAAACCTAATTCTCGACCTGGGAATTAGGCCTATAGGAAGTTGATCATTGTGCTGCTTTGAATTAGCAGTTCATTAATTATCTTTTAATAATTTAATGTAGGCCATTCCGTGGTTTGCGCGCACGTCGTGTTTTACAGTATGTGGGACGTGCTGGTGTGATCCGTATGATGTGGTGTGTAGGCCAATATTTTATGGCTACATGACAAATTTATTTAATTTTAGACTTTGTTTCATAGTAAGAAAAAAATGCATTAATATTGTTTAACGTACAGTTAATACTCGCACCCAATGGCATCTCTGGAGTCAGGAAACACAGCAAGGGCACCAATTGTAATATATTATAGGGTCTATCGTTTGAGTGGATAAAAAGATCAGATCTTACTTCGTTAAAATTGTATTGAAGAAAAAAACCTTACCTGTACTGTCATTACATTTTCTAAATTCATGAAGGATAGGCCTATTACTTTTTGTAAACCTTCTAGATTATACTCAACCTTTTAAATATCCATAATAAATTGATGTAGTTGGCCTAATTTAATAGGAATTCTTACTTTACTTTGACAATTTTTAAGGCAATAATCTGAATGGGTACTACTGTAATTAGATTCTTCCTGTAAACACGAAAAGGAGATCCAATGAATTATTAAATATGACATTTTATTTTGTAGTATTTTTTTTTCCTAATTTTTTTTTTTTATAGATTTTGATAATGTAATTTTAAGTACCTTGTGCATGAATGTTTTTGATTTAAATATATTTATATCTGTTGTTTTAATGGCACTGTAGAAAGCAGTCTAATATAGCTGGACATGGTTTCCCTCATCAAATAAACCTCAATGTTCGTTTTCGACAAATCCGAAATACTCAAGGCGAGAGATGGCGCTGTTTAGTGTTTTCGCCTCATCATTTATGTATAAATCTCGGGTATTTATTAATTATCCAGCGGCATCGCTTCACGATGCTTGGCTATGATTCATACTGTATTTCCATCATTCATTAAAAAAAAATGTATATCATTAAGACTCAGTCTGGAATATTGACAACTTTCATCAGCTATGATATGATTTTTGTATTCATTAAAAAATATCCCTTGCTAATACACATTTTATTTTCCAAAACTTAAATTGTGCACCAATTGTTTTGTCCCTGGTGCCATACTAATACAGGTCTCCCTCCAATTAAAGACCACCTTTGGGACCGGGGTTTAGTGGTTTTTCGTAGCTTTGGTTTCTTATTGGTTTAATTAAAGACCAGCGCTAAAACTTGTCTTCAAATATCTCTGTTTAGGAACATATAGCATACAATTACTGGTACTTTTGCATTTACAGTTTATAGTTAGAGGGTCTAATTTTTCGTAAGGTTTGGGTTTTTAGGTTCTGAGGTTTTGGTAGTTATTAGAATCGCTATAATTAGAAACTGGCACTCAGAGGTCCCAATTTGGAATAATCCACATTAGCGGGAGAGCTGTATAGGTGAGTTTCCTTAACGCATCTAAATATATTTTGCTGTGCATGGCGATAACCATTGGCACTGACCTCCGGGAGACAATTGATAATACAGTAGTAAAAACTTGTAAAAACAATTATATGTTTAATAACACACGATACATATAGAATATTTTCAATACTAGTTACTAAATTTGTATATTTATTATAATTCCGATATTTCATAAATTAAAAAATGATGAAGGTGCTAGTGTTCTAGTACCACAGACTTAAGGCAGGCACTTGCTGCGCCCCCATGGTCGTTGGCTGACAACATCCTATGGAAAACGCAACGCCACAACATGTGCACAGCACATCGTTTTTAATAACAATAAATTTGGACTGTCACTGACAATCAGCAGATGGCGTCGCATCGTCTGGTGTTCACAGGAAGCGGAGTTCGAGTTGTCGTACAACCATTTTACGACATAGTGTGTGCCCAGCTTTACATTACAATATTTCTTTCCAGATTTCTTGATTACAAGTTACATAAATTTAGTTTTGTTGGTGGGACTTACAAAGTAATTTAATACAACTGGAATTCATAAATTATATTTTCTTTTGAAATTGAAATAACACACAGCACCAAGGCTAAAGATAAAATCAACAAATAAATAGGCATACACTTACATAATAAAGTAGACTTACAACAAGTCCCTTATTATTATTTGTTTTTCTTATTCTGGACAGCGCCACCTACGAGCAAGTTAATTTTGAGACAAAATACAATAATCCAAAAATAAAAGAAATCGAATATGGGACGCCAATTAAATTAGGTATGGCGCGCACTAAGCGCAATAAAGACTGAGTAACCCAAAATTTGGGCCTGGAACCCCGGCTAATAATAGAGCAGAGATATGTCTTTTGTTCAAAGATTACTGATTAGTCAGTTAAGATGTAGTGTCCCTTTCCATTATCATTCAATTAAAAAATTCAAAATATTAAACTTGCTAATTACAGTATTACCATAAATGTATTCTTCTCATTGGTCATAATGTGGTAAATAATTGTAAATCTTACTACGGTATGTTAAACAATCATGTGTGATGTCATCCCCAGATATACTCTCTGTGGAGACAGACTCTGTGGAAAGCATTTTCAAGGCAGTGAAAAAAAAAGCCAGTAAATTTCATGCAACAGTACTGTACAATAGTAATGTTGATGTATTTTTAATGTAAAAAATGTCATCATATTGTATTTTATGAATATTACGGTTAAGAACACAATTCAAATTTTTTGGTGGCAATATTTTTAGCTGCATGTTGAATACTGACTGAATCAAAATACCAATGCACTGTCATACTTAATACTTAATTAATTTCCCAGGTAATTTTTCAACAAATTCCTTCACTAAATACTACAATTATTGGTACATGAACATAGAAATTTGAAAACACTTGGTAGACACCTATTTTAGATACAAAATGCGGGTATCTTTTAACATTGAAACCAACCCCTATTCACGGTACACCCTACTACTGTAATATAATGAAACACTTCTTTTGGTCTTGAAGGTGTCTCTTCAAAAGATGATCTAATGTATGCAGGACAACTGTACTGTTCTTGCATTAATACTGATTTATGAGTATAATTAATAATAATAGAGCTATGAATAATCATTTTACACTGTTTAGCAAGTCACTTGATTTAATTGCACTTAATGGAATAAAATAAGATACTAAATTTTAATTCTAGGAAAATCATCTCAAAGTTTAAAACAATGAAAACTAAAGACTTGACATGAATTCACCAGACATGGACAGTCTAGCAGGGTCACTTCGCTAAGCTAATCGGGTGCTTATTGCCAGACTAGCAGGGTCAGCCAAGAAGGGGCATATTAGCCTTATTGCTGTCTAGTACTAGTAAGGCTGTGCATCCAGCCTAGCATGTACAAATTGCTGGCTAATAGGTGAATATATCCAGACTAATATCTACTTAGGACAAGTCAAGCAGGTGCTTATGGCTAGCCAAGCAGAGTCATATGTCCATCCTAAACATATACAGTATCTACCTAGTAGATACTTGAGAGCAACCTACAATAGCTGGTATGTATAGCCAACATAGCTGGTGGGTATAGCTAGCCTAGAAGTTATGCATAACTGGCCTAGCTAGTACAGTATGTATGAGCAGCCAACAGGATCATACTTTACATCAAAGTTCAATCGCATCAACTGAAAGTGTGTTGGTATCTAGTTAGTATCCGGTGGTGTAGCGTCACCTGGGGTGGCCTCTGTATCTAAGGTGTTCTTCAGTTTCTTGTTTATCCTTCACTGCTGATTCTTGTGTTTTCCTTTTATCTGTATCACTCGCACTATTGCCTATATCATCACCTTCAGCTATATTTTGTGACGACCTAAAAATAAAATACAATCATATTTCAATGCTTTTGTGTTAAGCAAGTGTCCAGCTTATTTACCATTATGCTATCTGACAGGTACTGTACATATATTTACATAGAAAATAAATTGTTGTGAATTAATGTTACATCCAGATGAGTAGGAGAAAATGCTCATATATTTTTCATTCAAATCAAACAGCAAGAGAATACAGACAATTACAGGATGATAATTATGTGACAGGAATGGTCATGAGTTTGATTCTGATGCTGGCCATATTCCTAGTGTCCTTAGGGACAGTCACTTTATCTATGTTTGTCTCTCTTCACCAAGGAATACGAAGTTGAATTGGCTACATGACAAAGAGCACTCCCTCCAGAGTAGAGCGTAGGTGGACAGACATTTGCGTTTGTGTATGACTGATTCAATAATCAATGACCAGGGAAACACAATTCCATAGAGACAGACTGTGACATTACATGCTATTCAAATTTAACAAATATATAATAAATTCTTGCACTATATATAATACATGGTCTCACTTTGAGGTTTATGGAGGATAGGAATTTTGACATTTAAATGGACTAAGCCCAGGATCATGTTTTTGAAGGATGAGCACCATACCCATCAAACCACATCTTGCTTATAGTCTACCGAAATTACACACCTATTGTGTTTCATGTGACTCTTGACCAGATGACCAGCGGCTAGAGCGGACATGAGTGAGAGTTCTCCAGCAAGAACAGCTGCACATACGATTCTAGCCAGATTGGATGCGTTGCGACCTGGCTCCTGTATACATGGACCTTTTACACCAAGCATCTGTGAGAAATATTTCTTATTATTAAAATAAATATTTGTAAAAAAACAATATAAAATTAATAATGAAAATGTTAAAAAGTAACAATGAATAATCAAAAAGAAAATGAAATAAAGAAAATAAATTGATCGTATGATTATATCCATTGCAGAGATGCAAAATTGATGAAATGTTAGTCTAAGGAAATTATGCTATCGGGATTTGAATCCTACTGACCAATCAAACTTCATATTCTGTAAGGGGTCGTTTACAATTATCAAGATTTTCGCAAGTGTACAAACAGTACTCTTTTTCGGTAACCCCTCCCTCCCTACATAAAAAATGTTTATTTTGTAAAACCATTCTCAAGGTACTATACTTTATTACTCAAAAAATATATATTATATCCATTTTTCCACTATAATTGGTCATAAAAATCTATTATTTTAAATATTTTCCATGTTATTTTCATGCATATGTATTAATGTACATTTTTTTCTACCCCCTCCCCTCTAGCATACAGTTTGTACACTTGTGAAAATTTTTATGATTGTGAATGACCCCTAACCATCATAAATATTTGAATTTGTTATTGTAGTGACCTACCTGTAGACATGATTGCTGGGCTGGTAGTATGGTGCCACCACCAATAGTACCAACTTCAACCGACGGCATCGTACAGCTCATATACAAATCTTCGCCATTCTCACCTGTACTCTCCATCGTTGTTAAGCAGTTGGAACTTGCTATGTTTTGGGCTATATCCTGTGAAGTTTATAAAAATCATCATAATATGTTTGTATGTTTATATTTATCTCATTTACATCAGAATATATTTATGCAAGTCTCTATTAAGCCAAATTATGAGGCTTAAGGAGTTGAGTATTTATTTGAAGCATGCTTTGTGGTGTTCTCTATCTGCCCATTTGGACCATCGATATACAAAATAACAATACTAAAACCTATATAGCTGATATAAAAAAGCTCTTCTTCCTCAATTACCTGGCCAGTTGCAACAAAGACAGCTGTTACAATATTAGCAGCATGTGCATTGCAGCCTCCGAGAGTCCCGGCAACAGCAGAACCTATCAGGTTTTTCTTGGTATTGAGATTAACTAGTGCAGACGTAGATGTCTTCAGTACCTAAAATAAAAAGAAAAAGCATGTTGAAAGTCACAGTTCCAGGTTTTACCAAAATTTCAATGAGTGATTAATCCTTTATGTCTGTTGAAATGTTAACATCCTGAAATTTCAGTCCTATATGATTTAACTAACTCGTTAACAACAATTAAAAGATATAAGGGATTTTGAAAATTATATAACAAAGGTTGTTGTCAATTGAACTTACTTTTTTAACAACATTCCCCGGAATGATAGCTTCACAGGTTACCGACTTCCCCCTCCCCTCAATCCAATTGATAGCTGCTGGTTTTTTGTCGGTGCAGACATTTCCACTCAGACTGAGGACCTCCAGCTGGGGAAATATCTCCTGTAGTAACTTCAATGATTTTTCTGTACCCTGTAACATACATCAATAAATATACTATGTAGCTAGATTTCCTTTATTGTCTGCTCAATATAATTATATTATAAAGTAATCAGCATCCCAATTAAAAAGCACCATAAAAAGACTTGGTTATACAGTATCTAGGGTCTAAAATGATCATCTACTGTATCAACTCAATGAACGTCATAAAATGAGATGGTTAATAAGAAGAACATCTAGGCTCCAAAATTAAAGACCTCTCCTCTCCTAAAAACCTCATAAGAGATATGGTTATAGTTATAGAGCACTTAGGTCCCAAAATAATCAGCTCCCAACCCTCCATGATCCTCTATCAGTTTCATAGATTTGGTGATACGAGCATCATGGATTTTAAAATGCTAGATGAATCACTCATGTTACACAGCCTGAAAATACATATATTAAAAAAAGATTTAAACCACACCTTTGAGACCATGTTCATCCCCATGGCATCACCGGTGGATGCTAAGAAGCGTAGGTACAAATTACGACCTGCAATTGAAGGCTGCACTGAGGTCAGCTTAGCAAAACTACTGGTTGAATCAAATGTTTGCTTCAATAGTTGAAAGTTGTCATCATTATCTAACCATTGTTTCACTTTGCTGTTAAAACACAATTAGGGAATGAATACATTTCAAGCAAGTGATTCAAAATCAAGAGTTAAACCATGCTGTAGGCAATTTCCAATAAAGGAGTCAATTCAAGGAGTTAAGAAATTAATTGCTAATAACAGAAATAATAATAAAACAAAAAATATACATTAACTGATCGTTACTCTTTGCTTCAAGATAAACAATAATAATTTTTAAAAATATTATTAATAGTACAGCAAATAATATTAATAGTACAGTAAATGCATAAATATTAATAGGACCGTATAAAGCACAAATATACATTTTTACAGAATCTATTAAAATAATAATAATCTGGTAAGTAGTATAACTCACCTGACATCTTGAATTGATGGTAGCTGCAGTACTGGTGCTCTTGTCATCCCATCTTTGTAGACAGCAGTAATGACACCTCCTGATTCCTAGAACATTAAGTTAAATTAAGTAGTTGTGTTAGGCCATAACTAATAATACATAAGTATGGATTTTAATCGGTGGTTAAAGCCGGACAATCGGTCGACGTGATTCTATGAAGAACACAGTACTTACAGTGCAACATAAAAGGCAATTAGTATATCATCACTATTATTCATTTTATGATTATCCTTGCCATTGGAAAAAACTTATGAAACACATTCTTAGCTACATAGCAGAATATCGCCTTACATTACAGTATTAGTGTAGTGGCACTGAAATGATGGTTAATGTTCCACTGATAGAGTATTTTGATTAGAAGCACACAGCTTTAACACTGTATCACTTTTTGTTAATATTATGACAATAAGAAATAACAAACATTTACATAGGTTTATATGGCATCACATGATGCGTGGTTCAATGTTTGAAAATGAGAAAAGAAATGAATTTGAAGGCTAGTAGGTGGTTTTATTACTTGCAGTCTGTAAATTATTATACAGAGTGTACGACAAGCACTAAATCTACTTACCTAATGTAACTAACTACCTTAGCTAATGATGCTGAACATCTCTCAACATTGCACATCCAACAATTTTGTAGAATTTGATCATATTGTGTACTATGTACGTTTCTAATTTGGAGTACATATTTATAGGCCCTTTGAGGATACAGCTACTAACTAATCTGAATTACCTGTTTCATGAGCCTATGATAATTTATTACAAAATGATACACATGTTAGTAACATTAAATTTCAAAAAACACATTTGTCATTGAGCCACTTGATTTGCTTACCTGCAATGCTCGACAGCCTCGATTTGTACTAGCAACAAGCGTTCCTTCAGTGGTTGCCATAGGAACCATATACTGTTTTCCATCGACTGTGAGGGGTCCAGCAGTGCCGACCGGTAGGGGCATATAGCCTATCACATTTTCACAGCAAGCTCCATGCACCTGCAAACAACAACTAAAATTAGATACAGTGGCCAAGCTGAAAGGATAATATAATATTTTATGCTTTGAGATAAAGAGTCTTAAATAGTCTTTGGGGTTCATATAAAATAAAATAAATACAACTAATACAAATTTGGTTAATCAATTCAGACAAATTACTTAAAAGCATTTTCAATGCTGGTCTCCACAAGATTTTGATTTCCCTTCACTTTTTATTTATATTATATTATCACATTTTTATGGTGATAGTGCTTTTATTGGAATTGAAAAGATATCTGTAGCACTTCCAGGAAAACAAAAACATATATCAAAATAAATTAATCTTAAGTCTTGAACTTACCAAATTGTATTGATATCCTTTAAATGGAAGATCTTTCAACGATTCCTGATCACATAATTTGTCTGTTACAATATCCCTACGAATCTGGACACCTCTTTCATAATCCTGTAAAACGTCTTCCATTTTGTATGATGGAATGTGCTTGGCTAATACCAGCTGTTTAACCTCTTCATTGCTGAGTTGATCCGGACCATTCTAGAATAGATTATCTTCAAATTACTAAAGCTTATAGGATTAGGATTGCTATTAAGAGATGTATAATAGATATAAGGTCAAAGGTAGGCTTAAGTCTATGGAAGCATCAGATACATGGGATTATGGATAGGTTAAGTTTTATAGCTCAAGGCATCAGAGATGACAAGGGCTTAGAGGTAGGCTTAGCCCTATGCAGGTCACATTGAAAGGTATCCAAGATATCAACTATAAGGTAGACAACAACAAGACATGACCTATGTGGTTGGGTTAGATGACACAAAGGTCAATTGTAGCAAACACTGAAAATCACAGTAAGTTAATTTTGGATGCTTATTTATTATCTACAAGAGCTGAAAAGTAGTTACTGTACATAAATCAGACATGCCAACCCTACAAGGCCAACAAGAGGAGTCTGAAAAACTTCTGTGCATAGTTTTGGCAATGTGGGAGGAGCGTTCCTAAGACATGATACCAATGTGATCGGATTGTAAAATGAAACCGTTTTCACTCACAATCAGCAATACCGCTGTGCAAAGACTAGGCCCTAGGCCTAGGCAGAAAATCAAGACTGTACCTATCACAACGAGCATACCGTAGGCATCACCTACAGTAGTTTTGATTTCAAACTGACAGGATACTTTCCGTTATTAACTTGCATGTTTGCATATGCGTTTTAGTTTCTTTTTTGGAGGAAGCTCAACACTACTAATTGTCTTTCGAGCACTGCCAAAGCCTACATCCATATCGCTCTCATCGGACTCCATTTTCGAAATCGTCCTTTACTAGACTGTTGTTGTTACGAAATCAGTAGACCATGGAGCACTACACAGTTCAGAGTGCAGTGCAACTCTGACATCAATTTGGCCATTGAAATTTGTTTTTACGAAATCAGTAGACAGTGGAGCACGAATTAAATTTTTTGTATACAGTTCAGAGTGCAACTTAGACAGCGATTTGGTCAATGAAATTGGTTTTTTGCGAAATCAGTAGACCGTAATGCGCGAATTACTACAGTTCACCCTCCAATTCGAGACCACCTTTGGGACCTGAAAATAATAATAATAATAATAATACCGTATTTATATAGCGCCTAACAGATCACAGATCCCTCTAGGTGCTTTACAATTCTTAATTTAACTTAATTTAATTTAATTTATGGTAAAAAACTATCCCCCGCCAGACACTAACCCGGTATTTCAGAGTCAAGGAATTTCAAGATTGACCTTAACTATGTTCACTTAACTACAATATGGTAAAAACTATCCCCCGCCGGACACCAACCCGGTATTTCTGAGTCAAGGTTTCGGGACCGGGATTTCAAGATAGGGCACTTAAATAATAATATCAATAACAATAATAATAATAATCACAATAATAAAAAATTTAATTAAGAAACAGGTGAGCTTTCAGTTGTGACTATATACTGACTGATGGAGAACATTTAATATGGATCGGTAAGTTATTCCAGAGTGGGGTGGTCTCAGTGTTGGTCTCCAATTAGAGAGCTAGCTTTGAAGGTTGAAGATTGTTATTTGGGTCTTTGGAAAATTGGTCTCAAATTAGAGGGGTCTCTGAATCAGAGGGGTCTCGAATTGGAGGGCACACTGTATTTTGTATACAGTTCAGAGTGCTGTTTTCAGGACGAAATTCAGTGGTCTTGTTTTTATCTAAATCATAGGATCATCATTTTCATTCGGAAATGCACGATTTATTTCAGCTTGCCAAAATGCGTAAAAAGCGGAGATTTTCAACCCAATATCGGAGAGAGGAGTTTTGCTCAAATAAACGGTGTAACTCCACCAAATTGGAGTGGTTGGCATGTCTGATAAATGTATCATATTCAAGGATTAACCAGCGGTGCAGTTAGAGGAGCCGGGCTGGTTGCGCCCCCTCCCCCATCATTTTGGAAAGTATAAATAAAAGAAAAAGTAAAAATTGTGTCTAGAAAACACAATTTTCGTGGGGCATGCCCCGGGACCCCTAGGGTAGCATTGTCTTGATCGACGAAACTTTGGGGCCCACCCCCCTTTCGGACAGCTCTGGAACCACCACTGTTAACAGACTATTGCCAATTCACGTTCAAATGAGAACACTACAAATTAACAAAGAAACAACGCTTTTAAAAGAAACTAGCTATTAGAAACATCTTCTTGGATAGCTTTGAAGCGCTTTTTATTCAATTTTGCTACTTACGTCCAGATTGTTCAGGATTTGCAGACATTCTTGTAATGGTCTCGGTTCCTTTGGGATAGAAGTTGGTTCATCCTCTTCCGTTTCCCTTTCACTATCAGAAGAGCTTTCTGAGGCTATACTACCAATATGAAAGATCCTCTTTGGTTTTGTGTTAGAAGCAGTTTGTGTTTCTACATCTGTCACTTCCTTAGATTTATACATCATTGATGGCAAGTCAATACCATCATACATGTCACTATTTGATTGTTCTGCAAGAATATAAATAGAACATTTTGTAAAGATTTTCACTATGACTGTAACTTCTAGAGGAAACCTCATTTTCATAGCAATCCCACAGGCTGTGACTCTGCTTCCTGGGATGTTTAACTGATTATATATCTGGATCCAGAATCTACCAATTTAAATATAATACATAATTATTTACATCCCAGTATGAATGCATGTGCTTAGCACTGAAGCAGCATGCCTTATTATGTACCAGCAAATTATTATTATTATTATTATTATTATTATTATTACTAATTATTATTATTATTATTATATAAATATTGTGAAAAAGAATAAAATTTTAAAAATTAATAATGTAAAAATACCAAGTATAAACTTATTTTGAAAAATCAGGTTATAATTTCCAGCATTGGTGGGATAATATGGACCGACGATGATTAATAAAAAAAAAAAATTAATGATGACGATATCAACACTGCGTTTAACTGGTGCAGTTCGCGGAAGATGGACAGAATGTCTTAACGAGTGAGTAAATTTAAATTGGGTTAAACAAAACAAAAATTAAAACATTAATATTAATAGTCACACGATATAAATATTGTTACAAAATCAATTACATTTGAATATGTTTTACCACTTAATTCGTTAAGAATTAACAATTTATCTACTTATATATAAACTTATTTATTCATAAAAACAGACATTGTATACACATTTAGTCACTCAAAAGATTGAAATATAATCATATAAAAAAGAAGCTGTTTGAGCATTTTTTAAAGATTGATTTAAATTTAAGTGTATGAATATTTATATTGAAATATTTAACTTGGTTATTCCTCGATAGGAGAAACATACTTTTATAAAGTCAGTATTTGGTATAGAAATGAACCAATTTGCATATCACTATGTCTGAAATCATACCTAAAATCAGTGCATGTACATAAATTGGAAGTGAAAGGGCTATAAAAAAAATGCAGGCCATAAGTTAAAAAACAGAATATCTCTCACCGCTGGTGAACCTGATCCGCTTTTTAGTATCTGCAGTGTCGATGAAGAAGAACTTGGCCATGAGAACTAGAGCTAATACTGAGGTGAACACTTGTTCTACATTCATACTGACAGCCCTGCAAAACATCAATGGATACATAATTCACAGGCAAATTTGTGTATTGAACGTTTAATCTAATTTATATTTAATTTGGTATTTACCACAATGCATAATAGATCCTAACATTCTACGGGAAAATAAGTTAAATGAAAAATTAAACCCATACTTTTTAAATTCTATTAAAAGATGTGCACCTAAGCCCCTTTCAGAAAGACATTACACAATATTGCGGTAAGCATGCCGGCATAATAACCGGTCTATACCTTTTCAAACAGCACCTTTGTTATCGCAATATTGCGGTAATCTTACATTTTTCTGTATGGCGTAATATTGGTGGTTTAAATACCACCGTGCAATTGTTTTCAACTTTAACCTTGTTTGTTTATGCATAAATAAACATGCCGGCTTGATTTTCACAATATCGAGTAGACCCTTTCAGACAGAACAAAGCTAGTAACCATTACCGCAATATTGCGGCAATATTACTAGGGTGCAAGGTGGCCTAAAATAAGCTCGCACATTGGTGTATCGATCCCTTCAGACAAAAACCCATGCCGACGTGTTTACCGCAATATTGTGGTATTGCAGCTCAGTCTGAAAGGGGCTTAAGTTACACTCGCATGAAGGATAGAGAGTTGTTCATGTGAAAGTAAAGAATCTTGGTAGGAAAATATCGAAATACTTTTCCCTTTAATAGATTTTCTGTCGTTTGAAATTGGGTATTAGTTAATTAAACATTAAAGCCTCTATACTGTTATGTTTTTTGTAAATGCTTTTGGATGTAAGAAACAATGAAAGATTATTATGCCCTTTTTAAACAGAAAACCATAAACTTAATTTAAGTCAGTGCTTACCGCATAACATAAGTTTGCCATGTTGGTAGACGGTGTTGACGGGCCTCTTCCCCAGATGAGTCAAACAGTGTTTGGTTGTTTCTTTCATTCACTACACTTGGAGATGTGAATCTGTGGGCGTGCACAACAGCTAAACCAAACGACTACAAAAGAAAGGTATAAACGTTAACTTGGTTTACATTTTAAATCGTTGCTATAATGTTAGTTTGAACATCTGGATGAGTAGGAAAGTAATATATATATTTGAACCTGTAATTCCTGCAGAAACTTTGTGACAGCCGAACATAAAACCAAGTAAGTGTCAATACTTAGATTCAGAGCTTAGCCAGACCACTCCATGAAGTGCACTAAACAAGCTTGCATGACTTCGATGATCAGGCTTGTGACCTTAACTATGATGTTAAAATGTTTATGATGCTGAAGACGATTAGATGATTATCATGATGGTGGTGGTGACCACTTATGGTGATCATGAAAATGTAATATGGACTCCCAACTGACCATTACTAGTTTGACTTTCTGCAGTACAGGGTTAGCTGTCCTGGTCTCCTGTTCATCTACCAGCTCCAAGGGCTTGCCTTGCTTCCATACAGGATGTCCAGGCACTCCATGATTACAAAGCTGGTGGTCAAAAAGAAACATGTATGTGATTCAATATTGCTCTCTACTGTATGGTTTACTTTATGAGTTTATGAAAAATAACTACACTCTCAAAATCCCCATGTGAAATTTGTATACAGCATCAACATAGTGCAATCAGATAGTTTAATAAATGAACTGTTAATCAAGCCTACAGATAAATAATTTGAGACTACCATTATATTTATTCCCTGAATATTTCGCTACCCATTTATGTTGGCTTTCTAATTCTGTTCAGGTGCTCAACACCTGTTCAGGATCTGGGTGGGTTCACAATGACAGGGGCTGTGAGATGAACCACCACACTGGGTAACCCCCTACTCGTCTTGAAAGATGTACTGGGTTCTTTATAGTGCACATGAGCAAATAGCGTACACTGGGCCTACGGTTTATAGTACTTATCTGAAAAGACTTTTTCCACCTCCATAACAATAGACGAACACCGATAAATAGCTGTAGGTTGCAGCACCCCTGCCTTAACTGCTCAACCATTTGAATCGCCATGAGTCAGTTATTCTACTTAATATATGATTAAACCTTGATATCTACTAACCTCAAGCACCAGTGAAAGGCATGCTGGGAAGACTGTCATGAAGACAATGTAATTAGTAATGATAGCAACACACGCAAACAAACACATCAACTCCAACTGATGGACACCTGTGGGATCAAACAATGTGTTTGGGTAAAATATTTAAAATGTAATAAATGACAATACTTTTTCAATTGTAATGACATATCTGATTTATGTTACCTGATTGTGAGCCCAGAGCGAAGGCTAAGGCCATAACAACAGCATCCAATGTCACTGAGGGCGCCATAATCCTCAGTCCATGAGCTATATTTTCTGCAAGTTTGACCTACATATCAAAACAATTAACAGAATTAGCCAAAAGAAAACAAAAAAAATCACACAATTAATTTTAATAAAAAGTACAGGTATAGCAAAAATACAAAGTTAGTAATAATAGCATGTAAAATTAATGTTCATAGCTTTTCATCTCCAGATCGGTTTTGTATGCTTTAAATATGAAGTAAAAAGAAATTTCACTTTGTTTTAGGGTAGCCCTTGATTGATCTCTTACACAAGAAAAATACATAACACTAGAGATAATACTTAGACATTAACATTTCTAAATTTAAAACAAAGCAAATAACCAAACACTAAAAATACACTAGTATGAATGAACTTAAGTTTAAATATGGAGAAATAAGATGTTGATTAACATTTAAAGACTCATAAAATAGTACTATTTGGAAGATTAGCCTTGCATTTGGCTGCGTTTTTAGCCAGCTAGATGCAGTATTAGGACCATAAAAAGCAGAAAAAAGTAGGTATAATGACCATGAAACAAGAGGTTGTCTCATATGCCCGACATACTAAAATCACTAAAAATCTTCTCAAACTAAGGAGTCATCTTATGCGTGAGTATATTCAGTATATTCCCATTTTTGGAGTACTTACCTCAGATTCTGCAGCAATTGCATAACTTGTGAGCTTACTGGATTTGGACAAATCCATCATCAGAAGGAAGACTGGTAGCACGTCACTGTGAAATAAAAAAATCAACATTTTAATACTATTAACACTATTTCAATATTCACTAATATATTCTATATTTAGCGCATAGAGACTTTTTGTATTTTGGGCTATATAAATTTAAAACCATTAAACAATTCCTAATTTCTCACTATGAAAAGTTTGGGTTGTCAGTTTTGTAGCCACCAAAAACACATTTAATTGGATAACTTACCAATATTGTGAAAACTCTACCTGCATTTATTACTTACATTTATTATAAAGTTCTTTACATAAATTCAACATTTGTTATCATCTAGACACTGCTAACAATTTCTAAACATGAATGCTATCAAGACACTACTTATTATCATAATTAATGGAGCTCCACAGGGATGTTCATTTCAATCACTACTGTTTCATTATACTCTAATGATTTTTCACCTCCTCTTAATGATCAGAAAAAGTGTTTCCTGATCAAATGTGCAGACGACACTTGTTTAGTAGGATTATTTAATAATGATGATGATATAGATGAATACAAGTAATATGTTTCTTCACTGGTGTAGTGAAAATAAAACAAAAGATGTTATAGTTGATTACAGAAAAACCAAAAATGATCATGTATGTCTGATGATTAATGGTAAAGAAGTGGAAATTGTTAGTGAACACAAACATCTTGAAAGAATTTCATTTAGCTTTAAGAATTGTATTGTTCCGTTTCCATTTTTGCTTTACAAAAGCGAAAATTTTTCATCTACAAAATATCTTGGCAGCTACACTGATGACAAATTACACTGGAACTGTAACACTGTTAAGCTAAGCTCAAAATGTAACAAAAGAATGTACTCCCTCAGTAGAATGAAAAAATTTAAAGTTAAACCTAATGTATTATCTATGTGTTTATATATCGGTTATACAATCAGCACAAACAATATGTAGTATGATTTGTTTTAATGAGCTGAACTTACATAAGAAGAAGAAACTGAATAAGATTATCAAACAACCTAGTAAGATTATATGTATAGACGTTAAACAATTATAATTTTTATGTAATGACATGTTAGTTAAGAAATTACAATGTATAATGTCTGATGTTACCCACCCAGTCCATGATTCTAATTACTGTCTGTAAATCTGGATGATTAATTCAATTAAAGACTAACTGGTTTAAAAATGCATTCATGCCAGCAACAGTCAAACCTTTTAACATGCAGTTTAATAGAAAAGCCATAATAATGTATACATTGCCTACCCTTACAACTCACTAATCCTTGCAATATTAGGTTTTTATTGACAATTTTAATTACTTTTTGCATTTTGTTTTTTTTTTCAATTTAGCAATTTTCATTGTGCAACTCGTATGTATTTAATTATATTTTTCTACTAAATATACATGTATTTTAAGGAACCACATCTCATAGCCCAATTCTGTACAGTTCTGACAATAAAGTTTAATTGTATCGTATCGTAATGTGTACTTACTTAACAGCAATAATGTCTTTATGAAACACATGTACAGCAACAGTGCCAAATATTAACATACACAGTATAGTGAATATAGCTGCAATTCCTGAACAAAAAAACAACACAAAAAAACTTAATGTTAGCATTTCAGATTTTTACTCAGTTAAGAAGTATATATTACTTTATATAAAAAACAAATTTTTGCAATCAATTTAGAAACATATAATGAAAACCATGTAATACAAAAAATTAACTTTGGGATTGCAGTTTCATATAATTCCAATTTTATTATATAAATATTTTTATTACCAGATATATAATTTAGTATATAATATAAATACTGTAAATCTTTAATGGGAAAAAAAAACAAAAAACAAAAGAAACTGAAAGTTTGAGTTACTTTATTAATAACAACTTACCAATGACATATTTTGAGTGCTTCTTCTTTAAGTTTCGAAATTGAAAGTAGATGTAACAGACAGCTAGTGATCGGGCAAAGGTCATCAAAATGTCACCAAACACAGCCTCATCCTGGATCAGAGTGAAAAAAAGACTGTATTTTTTATTTGATTGTGGTTCATTCATAGTAACTAGTTTTACTAAAATACAGATATTTTTATTTGAATGCCATGCCTGGGTTACCAACAATTTGAAGTTACATGTACAAAAGAATTGTTTTTTTATAAGTATAATCAGTTAAAACCTTGCAAAGCATTTGTTGTTGCTGTGCACAATAAACATGTCTTCACGCATTAAACAATATATAAGATAGCATTGCACGTCCCACTCAATGTATGTTGCTCAATGTTTAATACATTTATTTCGCTGATGTAAAAATCACAAATCAACAGCCCACATTACCTTTGCTTCTGTACAATAATTACTTGCACTACCACAATGTGGCAGGATTTTGAGGCCAAGGTTAGCAGACAACAGATAGATAGCTAAGGTCAAGGTGCTTATGATAACCTCAAATGGATGAGAAGCGCATAACAATCCACAGTATCCAATAACATCCATTGTCAGTTCTTCTGAAACAAATAAAGCATATAAACAGATTTACTAGTTCATTGAAAGAATATATGCTCCCAACGTAAGCGTGCCCATTACTGTATCTCGAAAAGAACACATTCTAGAGGGCATCCTTCAAAATACCATAAAAGGCTTTACGTATTGAACATATGCCGTCTCCATGACACATGTTTGAGTTTCAAATGCAAGTTTGTTGAGTTTCAAACGCAAGTTTGTTGAGTTTCAAACTCCATTCGTTTTCCAATAGGGCGCCCCTTACCTTGTGGTAGTACTGTAGTATCAAGCATGCTTACCTACCTAGGCATAGGTTGGCAAGTCGGAAAAACTAGTCTTCAATTAAATAAAATTAAAAACACTGTTTTATGTACAAAAGTGCATTCTTCAGGCCTATTGGTTCATCGATCGATGGAAGAAAGACTACGTATCCAACTATTCAATATTGTTGGAATATAATTTTGTTTACGTCTTTGATATTTTTCTCTTTCTCAATGTATAGGCCTAAGATTGAGATAAAATTACCTGACCTTTTTCAAGAGGGGTAAAACCTTGAATTTTGAAGAACTCAAAGGTCATTAAGACACCTCAGAAGTCGGGAAAGCTCATTTCTGGCCATCTAGGAATAAAAATTTTCCCGGGGGAGGACACCTGGTCCTCCCTTTCAATTTCGGGTTTTTTGAAAACATTTTCAACCCCCTCTTTAAATCCTGGATCTGCCCCTGCTACTCTGGAGTCTTTCTGCTGTAAGGCACATACCAGACTCTAAAGTAAGGTCTGCATAGAGAATTTATTTGCCGCGCAAAAATTAGGCATAGAAATCTACCCGTGTGCATATTTTTACTAGCTTTTTGACCTAGCCTAGAATAATCTTAATACGTATTAACCAAACCAATGTGTTATGCAGCAGTTCTGCGTACATTTTTTTTAGCGATTTTCCGCGCAAATTTGAGCTAGGTTTTGAGGTATCATCGTCCAATTAAAACACTTTGCAGTATGGGGCACATAGTTGATGTTGAATAACCATAACAAATTGATTGGACATTGGACTTGAAAAACCAAAAGGTCCACTGATTAATCTCAGATAAGATAGTATAATACATACTCCAAGTATCGAAATGCACGCCATTGTGTCGGGATTCAATATTTCAACATTAGTTATGTCATCATCAGGAATCCTGATGATGGCGTGCATTTCGATACTAATTATATTATCTAATTACTATCTAATAACCTACAGTAGCAAGAAATTTTCCCGGCTTAGCCTACTTCTACTATTGACTAGGCCTACTACTGCTACTACTACTAATGTACTACTACTACTACTAGGCCTAGACCTACTACTATACTACTCCTAGTACTTACTGCTATAGCCCTAGTTAATACTACTAGGAGTCTAGGCCCATATCCTAGAGCCTGGTCTACTATGCCTGCGGCTCTATCAAATCCACTAATTGTTGTGGTCATACCGGGAACAGGTCAAAACTGCAAAAAAACAAAACGGCAATAAGTCAAAACGGCAATGACCAAAATGGCAACACTTTTAGACCAGAACGGCAATGGACCAAAACAGCAATAAAGTCAAAACGGCAAGACCTAAACCACAATAAGTCAAAACGGCAATAAACCAAAACGGCAACACTTTCAGAATGACATACTGTATGGTAATTGGCAAAATGGCTAAATAAAATACTAAAGAATAACAACATTAATAATAATAAAAATAACAATAATAATAAATAATAATAACAACAATTCAACATACATATTCAATAGATTGGGGGAACACAATATAATACAATACAATATAAAACCAGTGAACATTAAAATAATTAAAACCTTAAAATACAGATAGGCCTATAATATGAGGCTAAACAATGAAAGTAAAAAATGGGAAAGACAAAAAATAATAGTAATAATACTATTACTAAGTAACACTTTAAAATAACGAAATAATTTGTCATGGATGTGTAAAAAACAAAACAAAACAAAAAAAAAACTATTCAGAAAATTATAAACTGCTGCCCGCGCTCGGTGGCGCTTCAGTCTTGGCATTGATTTTTGCTCCTTTGCCGTTTTGGTCTATGCCTATTGCCGTTACTTACTTGATACTTGATAGTTAGGCCCTCTTGTCCAATGGAAACTGTCATACCACGTCGGGCATAAGGCTAGGCCTAGCCTATCTAGGCCTAGGCTAGCTAGCTAAAGTGCTAAACTAAAGACATAGTCGGGCCTAGGCCCAGCCCCACCCAGGCCTAAGCCTTTTATGATGGAATGTTGACCATTCTGAACTTACCTTTCAAACATATAATCATGTATAATTGCTATAAAACAATATATATGTATCGACGAATGATGGCGGACATTGTGACACTACAAAAGTTCATTCTCTTTTCTTTAAAAGAGCTCTAAAAATAACATATGACAACAGGGGGCGAGTCATCGCTCAATCCTAAGTTAGCTGGAATATGGGCGGCCATTAGGGCCAAAATAGACAAATATTGCCGTACGAACAATCCCACTCTCGGCGAGTGATTGTCTTGTCCTTACGAGAATTTGTATTGTCTTTACGGCAATTTGTATTGTCCTTACGGGAGTTTGTATTGTCCTTACGGCAATTTTTGTCCTTGCTGTGTGAGAGTGGGATTGTTCGTACGCCAATGCTTGTCTATTTTGGCCCTAATCAGGTCACGTGACTACTGGTCGCCCTCTATCTGCCATCTTGGTGCCCATGAAAGATCTTATAAACACAGGGTAGTTGCTAAATACAACGGGTTCAGCCGAGGGGGCGTGGCTCGTATGTTGACGTCATGCATAATTTCAGCTGTAGTTTGTCTTTCAGTTATAGTTCATCCTCAACACAGAGTGGGCCCTGTCTGTAATCACACAGCATAGCAAAACACACCAGTTTATTTCTCCATACAACCAATGTAAGAAAAAATAAGTTGTCCCTGTGTGATTTTCTTTCAAAAATTAGGATCGCTGGAATATTATCAAGATAGCCTTCTCCGCGATTTACGCATTCAAATTCTGTAATAACGCTTGAACGGCGTCCTCTTGCAAAATTGAAAACTTTTGAACCTTGACCGCTCTAACCATAGGCGACTTTACGCTTACGCGTAACAATTAGAAGCGTCCGATTTACAATGCGCCCTCTCTTTAAGAACATAAGGAACAAATTAAGGTACTTGGTAACGAACTTTGCGTAACAATAGAGATATAATAAGAATACTAGAGCGCTAACCGCAATGTATTCGATGTTCGAAATACGCAGAGCTGTGTGTGTGTGTACCATCCAAGATGGCTGCCATAGTTGGTACGCTATTTTTGAATAAGATGCTCCACTTGGCCTCGTTTTGGCTACGATAGTCTAATAATTTATTATTACCATTACTCATAATCGTTAATGAAATAATAGTCAGTCAGAGGGCTTATTAATATGTAAAAATACTTATACTGAGCCTGAAGGTGGCGCTTTACTACGACGGCCATCTTGGATGGTACCATAGAGCTATTATATCTCTATGGATGGTACACATACCATAGAGCTATTAAACCTCTATGACACATACATAACTCTGCATTGCTTCGCCATCTTGTCAGCACTCTAGTTGTTTAATAGCTCTATGGGCGTAACGCGAACACCCTATCTCAGATCCATGGCAACGACTAGGACGATCTCTCCCAAAACTGATTACTTTTCTGTGCCAAATCGACGCTTCTATTCGTTACGCGTAAAATCGCGGAGAACGCTATCCTGTTTTTAAAAGATTTTTGGTGCCCATCAAAGATCTTAAAAACACACAAGATAACACTTTTATAACAGTGGCACACATTAGACAAATTCTAACGGTGCATCCAGAAAAGAACAAAGCAACAAAAATAAAAAATTAAATTCTTAACATAAGAGAGATTTACAGATAACTCAAATAACATTATTGCCCACCCACAAATCAAATTAAACACTTAAAATAAACTGGTTTGAAAAGTCGTGCAAAGCAAACCATGACGCTAAACCACCCCGCAACGCCTCGAACCAACACCACCGGGCCCCCGCCAGGTAACGCAGCCAGCCGAATGCTAGCCGTCCTCCCTGTCGCTGGATGTTGTTCGAGGAAAGACCACCAGCACCGTGACCCAGACAGGCCACCACCCGACGAAGGTCCGACGCCATCGGTCCGAGAATGCAGCAAAGCAAGCCAACGCCCTGGTTACACTTTGAACGAATTTTCAGTCAGTATACAGTACATAAATAGAAAAAATGAAATAATTTGAACATTTAAGAATATAAAAACAAAATTAAAATTAAATTAAATAAGAATTAAAAGAAAGCGTTTGCTCTACATACAGTATGAGTATGCACGCACAGGAATGATTACACATGCTTTAAAAACAAATATAATACTGTAATTACACAACAGCACAGATAAAACTTAAGCTACAACATTAAAATAGGCCTAAGTCACATCTCCTTTTCCACAGACTTTTGGATAAAGATTTGCAAAATTTGTCAATTAAGAAATTGATATTCTTATCATAAAAATGGTTATTTTCATTTCCAAGGATAAAATGTAATTTATTTCTATTATTAGACTGTTCGAATTCTTGGAAAACATGTAGAAGATTGTTACTATAAAGTTGTTGTTTAAATCTGGCAATTTCGATTTCTCTGATATTATTATAGGAATAGGACAAAGTAAAAGAAAGTGGATTAAATCTTCCACCTCACCTGTATTACAGAGTTTGCAATTGCCATTTTCACATGGCATATTTGAGAGTTCTGCAGGTTTATAATTCAGAGGAAGGGTGTTCGAACGCAATTTAAATTTTAATGATGCACCCTTAAAACTATCGAGAAGGTAGCCTTCATTTGGGTACATTCTTAATAGCCATATAGTCTTGTATTGATGACTTACTATTTCCATCATCCAGAGGTGACGGAACTAGGGGGTGCTGTG